CCCCGCGCGCCCCGCCCCCCCCCCCCCCCCCCCCCCCCCCCCCCCCCCCCCCCCCCCCCCCCCCCCCCCCCCCCCCCCCCCCCCCCCCCCCCCCCCCCCCAGAGGCACGCCTCATAACACGCATAGTAGTTACCAAAGCTAATGAGATCCTAGTTAGATTATTCTCTATATGTTGAATCCATGGGAGAAACTCTATTTAGTTTCGGTCTGGAAAATATGTTTTCCTCTCTCTCAAGGTTCGTGCAGGCTCTTGGAACAGGCCTTATTCGTATACGAGACTAAGGGAGGCAAGGAGAAGCGAGGCAATTATAGATATAACGTTCTTGTGAACATACAAATAACCTTCCAAGCCCTTGATCACAAGCCCTCGTTGCAGCACGGAAGCTATTTACACGAAATCGGTGGGTTCGTCTCGCTTCCCATGAAAAGGATAGGAAGCTCGCAGTTAAGGTTCTACCTTAAGTTATATTCAATAAACCAACTGCGCTGGTATGTGATCTGTAACGTAAAATTGCATCTATCAGGTCGTTCTTTCCAGTTGATAATTTTTTTCAGTTGACTCTTAAATACCAATAATCTAGACCACACCGGCATTCTAGCTCTCTTTCCTCGGCCTACCCAGATACCCAGTAGTAAATCCACAGTTTATATTTAATGTCTTTGTGCTAAACGTGGCATCTAACCGCACATTGATCGAGCTTGCTATCTTCGATAGGCAAATATTGGAGGGATGACTGGAATGCAAAGTGAAGAGTACTTATTATGTATCCAAGCTCTCCGCTGTGTCGCATATTTGTCTTTGGCCCTTAAATCGGGACATGGTCCCGTATTGAATCTTCCGAAGACAGTTGAAGTTACTCGGGATTCAGCGGGTACCTTTGGAGGTACCTGCGGTTTCAAGTCACGACTTGCATGTTGATACACGCTAAGTCAACACTCGTGACACGACGTGTTGCAGGCAGATGCCTCCTTTTTCTGCCATGGCAGCTATCTCCCCTGTACTAGGAGGTTGTACCTGCTCTCACAAGTATCCCTTAAGGACTGCGACAAAATGTTATACTTATCAAAGCCACATGACTAACCCCAGGCGGCACACAGAGAGTGTATCTCTAGTTTCACGCAGCACACGATGCCCATTTAGAACAGTGGTCAGCTCGCTCGTCTCCGGCGTGCTCTGGACAACGAGAAGACGGGGGTTCGAATCCCCCAATGGGTGGCTGGCTATTGTGTCTTTTGCGTTTTTGTTCTTACTGTCGCTTCTATGACTAAATGATACCTGGTTATTTCATTCTCATATTTTAGAACATAGTACCGTACTACTTTCATTTCAGCAGCAGCAGGCCCACACTCCCACGCTAGACATCCGTGTTGAATAAGCGTTGCGTAGGTAGTTTCGACGTCTAAAAAGGAAGAAATTACCATGCTTAAGTACTACATCATATGAGCTGATATATTTGTCTTGTCTTGATACGCACTACTTTTTCTTACCCGTCTCCGAAGTTCCAATCCGCGCCAGGTACTTCGTGTCAAGTTGGCCGGCTTCGAGATGCATTCAGATGCAGCAGGCCCATGCTCACGGATGTGTACCTACACTAAAGCTTAGGCAATCCAGCAATACATCATGATGTACATGAGATATTGCCCTTGTCGGGTGCGGCTCAAAAACCCATGCCATGCCAAATGCAATAAGTGATGCTTCTATCACCGCCGCTAACCATAATGGGATGTCGGTCGGTTACCCAATGCATACGACAGGTGTGGGATCGGATGCGGTGGCACGGCGGGACGATCCGTGTCAGTCCCATGCGCTGACCGGGGGTCAGTGATCGACGACGTCGACACCGAAACGTTGGGACGGTCGGGATCACTACCGTATCTCGCAACCCCCTGCCTGATCAGATCAATACAACCACACACGTGTATGGAGTGTGGTTCAACTGCGCTGCTATGGCGCTATGGTGGCGAATTCTTTTCTTCCGTATCCACATATTCGATGTACAGCTCTTTCACCCTCCTGTTCCCCTGGGCGAAAAGCGGTCGGTCAGCTCTGAAGTTCGAATTGCTGCTTTAATTTGGGATAGACCGGTATCTATATCTGGTTTTTCCTTTTCTTTTCGAGTGGATTTCCAGAATTGCCATCTTCAAAAATCGCGCCATCCATCGGAAAGTGGCGTGAGATCCGGTATCCGTAGCGAGTCTCGGATCGTGTTTGCTTGAGGCCCAACGCCGGTTGGTGATAGCAGAATGCCATTGCATAGGATCCTGGTGTTATCCACCGAGCCTCGGTCAAAGAACAAGCTGCAGCAGCCAAAATAGCACCTTGCAGTATTCTCCATTGCTAACTGCATGTGCATTTCCCAGCTTGCACCGCGGCGGATATAGGAGCCCCCTGAACCCGGTATGGGGATTGGGATGGAACCTTGTATGTCGGCTCCTTCGCAGCGTTATCGCCCCCATCGTGCCATGGATTCCTTAGCGCTGGTGGCTGAGACAATGGGTTTTATCTGTGGATAGAAAATTGTTGATGCTGGTTGTAGGTTCGGATAATTAACAGAAGCTTATGACTCTGGAAGTGCTGGAAGCCGCTTCCTGGTCACTGGTAGATTATGGTATACGGGTAAGGCTTCGATATTATTCATTGCCAAGTTCCCAAAGATTCTCGAATAGGAGGGCTCGGGGGACCTGCACTATATAATATTTGGGTACCCAAGAGATTTGTAGTGGGTTCTCAGCACACTCTGTGTAACTTAATAGTCCCGTGAACCGAGTTATATTAATGGCTCCTTATGCCATGTAGATTCTTTTTCCGGGTAATAGTGGTCTGATCTCTGCGCAAGATAGCGTGGTTGCCGGGTCCGTGGTAACGTCTACCCCCACGTATAATAGCCTCTCATGCAGCGTGTATAGATACCGTAGAAGATACGGGTATTCTCGAAACTAGAATCCGTGGGGGGCTTGTTTTCTGGCGCAGCCATCTAGTCGGAAAGAATTGGTCAGTACCTGGGTGAATGACCTCACGAGACATGGTGGGAGACAGGCGGTTGCATATGCATGCGCAATGACGAGCGCAACATATTCCGGATGAGGGTGTTGAGAGATGTGGCTGCAGCACAGACCAACAGTGCATTGCATGGCTCCATCGTCTGTTTCGTTACCAAGTCTGATGAATGACCAGGAACAACACGTGGAAATTCTTGTAAGGCTGTGGAGTTTGCTGCAGAATTAATTTTTATGTCTTATGTGTGATTGGGTTTCTCTGGGATAAAGGGCTAACTCGAGATAAACCGGATAATTGTCTACTTATGGTCTGGAACAGTTCTGAGTTTAATTCGGCGGATGTGACAATGATGAAAGACTTACCATCTGAGCTAAATACCTAGTGAGTTGGGTTCGATTCCTAACAGCGCTATTGGTATTCGCTATTTAGCTCATTTGAAAGATAACAGGGAAATAGTGACATGCGTTTAATCTCTTTGAACCTCGACACCTATCAAGCCTAGTAAACGCACTAAATATACAATCTGACATTCAGCCAGAACAAGTAGATCACTGAACTAATAGCCACAATTCTATACGAAAGATTGGGTTGCGCTGTGCTAGATAACCGTAGTTGAGCTGCCAGTAACTGTATTACTTGATATTGAATCACTGGTTCATTGAATGATAAATGTTGGACAAAGATTATTCTCGATTGAAGAACTATCGACAGACCAAAGTTTTCCAAGCCAGTTATTTGATGACTGAATGCGTCCTGGAGCATCGACTAAAAAACGGATGAGAATCTCAGCCCAAGTCCCAAGACAGCATCGCCGTTGAAGCCCAATCCCAACACTATGATTCACAAGCCCAGATTAAGATAATGACTATGCCTCCATTATTTGCGTTAAGACCCGAATGTACATGCGGCTGCACCCGTGCCTCTGCAATTGTCCTGTGGAAACCGGGCATTTACTGCGGGCCGAGGCCGGTAGGGGTCACACAGAGGACGGCTTGGCCGAGCTGTTGTTAACACAGATGTTAGTACGCTGAAAAGAGAAGTGGCTCGAGGTAAACTTACGATGGGGATAACACAGCAGCGGGCGCGCTGGCCACCGTCGGCGCAGATGTCGCGGAAGTTGCTGACGCTGAAGGGTGCAGCGGAGGCTGTGTCAAAGGTGTTAGCCTAACTGTTCCTACTACCCTCGGGTATCGAATTCGAGCTGGAAAAGGACGGTCATCTAATAAGTGAGAGAGACTCACGGGAGTGGCAGTCCAGGTCAGCGACGCCGAGAACATCAGTAGCGCAGCACTGGGCAACGCTGAAGAGGCCTTGGCCAGCGCAAGCAATGTAGGGGTTGGGGTTGCCGCCGGTATTCTCAGTGGGAGCGGCAGAAACAGCGGCGGCGAGGAGGCCGAAGATAGCGACGAAAGAGGTCTGCATTTTTGAATGAGGAAGTTGAATTTGTTTTGGGAACAAAAACGATTGAAGGCTGTGGGATGAGTGAAGGTATTGGGCTTCTGGGATTGCTGTTGGTGATGGGAGAATAGAGGAAAGTTGTGTCAGTTGAGGGCGATGTCGACCTCCTTATATAGAAGTTCGAGAGGCGATATCTCGCTAGATATTCGACCGCAATCTTGTTTTTCTGGAGAACGGTCGCCGACAGGCTGGGTACTGGCTCTGTCGTCAAGACGGCGACTCGATCTGGTGCATCTGCCATGGGACTGTCCGGGGTCGTCGACTCTGTGGCGTTATGCGGGCGGCATCCTCCAATTCACATGTACTTAGTTGTCGTCCTATCAACAACGCACGTCGAGATGGGAATCCCAACAATCCCCGGATGACTGCCTGTGATGAGCCGCTTGGCTAGCGTAGATGTCCCCACGAGGTAAATTAGGTTGAAGGAATTTCTGGTTCATATCCCTAGCAGCACGCTCGGGCGTAATTAGTTCAACCCCAGTTGTCGACTCATGTCTAGAGCACTCCCAGAGTTCTGGACTTCACGATGTGTACCCTCAGGAGGAATCGGAAGCGGAACCCACGGGTTCTCCCTTGCGCGTAGGCAATGCCCACCGCGATGGATACCGTTATTGCACGACTCGATCTCGATAGACTTGGGCGGAACTACATACAATCCCTGTGAGAGGCCGAAAGATCGATCTCAGCTGCATACATTTGCAATGGTCCTCTCCACCATCTCCACCATCTAGGCCACCCGTAGACTCCGAGCAGAAGACTCGGCGGAGACAGCAATCATCTGTTCCTTGATTCAAAAGAATCAGTTCCGTACTTTTCAGATGTAGATGTAGGTACTGTTGCTTCTGCGTCTTGGCGTTCCTGGCACCGTGGAGGGGGGTTTCCAGTTTGGGTCGATAGAAACCATTGTGATTGGCAAATCCCATTTGGGCGAATGCGGAGCAACGGCTACTGGCTGTCTGTACATGTATTACGGTACTTAGTATTTAACGTAGCATATATTTAATGTAGTATACTGTTTTGTGCAGCCGAAGCGAGATATGCTCAGATTGTAATGGATCCATGTCCCGCGCCTGCTTGTCACTGGCAACTCAACTAATACATATTTATGATTGCAAAGTGCTATGGTAGCTATTACCAATGCGACTATGCAACGTGCGTATCAGATCATATCAGGCCATCTCAGTCATGCTGCTGCTTTTCTTTTGCTACTTGTCACCGCATCTGGTTCGTGTATGTTGCAAGAGCTGCGGCTGGACCCTATTCTAGTTCAGAAGAGCGGTTGAGTGCTTCTGTCGTGCACCTCGTAACTGATTACAACATAGGAATAGGTGGTTGGTTACCACGTTTCTGCAAGAATAGCCCGCATTCAACATTGTTTCGGCCTCGCTGTGGCGGATTCCTTGGCAGGCCTTTCCGGCGTTAGTGTTCCTCAGCTCTCATTTCTGATTGATGCGGGTGCCGCCCCTAGACTTCCTGCTTACTTGTTCGAGGGTTTCGGGCGTCTGCAGACGACGTTGCGTTGTCTCGCAGCGGCCCAGGGCTAGAGGTTGGATTTTGATGGTACGCATGCACCTCACCCCTGCATTGTACACATATGCTGTGCGCAGGTATTTGTTCTCAGGGATGACGCATCCGGCTCCCGGTGATCTTCCCTATCCTGAACACCCGGGTTTTCATGTGCTGACTGGGGCTCAGGAACAACGCATACACGTAGTCTAGTGCCGGGACCCGGTTGTAACTCATTTATATGTTCGAGGCGG